GAAGAAGAATAATAAGACTAATAATAATACTAATCATAATAATAATATTAATAATAATATGGATACGAATAAGAATAGTATGAAGAGGAAGGGTCGTGTTGGGGCTTCCTGGGGGCCTTTTGGGCCGCCTTGGGGCGGTTCTGGGGGCGCCTTGGGCCGTCTTGGAGCGTCGGGAGCTCGAAGAGTCGAGGTTTTCGAAACAAGAGTCTCTCTCTCTCTCTCTGTTTGTGTTTGTGTTTGTGTCTGTGTGTGTGTGCGCGTGTGTGTGTGTGTGTGTGTGTGTGTGTGTGTGGAAAGTCCATGTGTTCGGCCTCTCGGGGCCCTCTTGAGAAGGCTCTTGGGGCTTTCTTGGGGCTTCTCGGAGGCCTCTCGGGCCGTCTTGGGACCATTTTGGGCGTCTTGGTGCGATCTTCGGGCGTCTCGGGGTCCTCTTGGACCGTCTTTGGGGCCTCTTGGGGCCCTCTTGGCCTGTCTTGGGGCCTTCTGAGGCCTCACACAATCATGCGGGGAGATGCGCCAGATTCGCAACGCGACGCGGCAAGCCCCAGTAGATTTGGCAATTTGGGTTTCGAGCCCCTTACAGACTCCTCCAGAGCTAGTGCTGAGGCTGAAGGGAATAGGCAAAGGACCTGAGGGCACGCCCACTCCGTGCGCAGCGGCACGGTGGTGGATTGTGTTGGGAGATTACGGAATGTGGTGCTATTTGAGTGCACATTTGATAGCAACATAAAGCATGACAATGGTTCCGCGCGGTCGCATATGAAAGCGATCGTGGAATGGACGGGGCACCGGGATGCGAACAGGCAACAGCTGCAATCAAGGATCCCTGTTATAATCGATGCGTAGATACCAAAGGCCGCTATAGTCTTACTCATAGGCTATGCGCCGACCTACTGTAGGTCTACCTATAGGGTGCCTTTAGGGCTACCATAGACTTATGGTAGGCTTAGGGTGGGTTGATGGTAGGCCCATGGTACGCTATGGGTAGGTGCACAACGAGCCTGTCACAGGCTTATTCTAGATCTACGGTCGGTTTATGGCTGACCTACCATAGGCTTATGCATAGCCTGATCGGAGTCCATTCGGAAACCCGCTACGAAGGGTTTTTCTAGCAAGACGCTGCAATCGGAGTCCATTTTGGGAACCATTACAACGGGATTGTATTGGAATGCGCTACAAGACAAATCCAAGTGGGAACCATCACGACGGGATGCGATTGGAAGGCGCTGCTCTAGGAATCAATGGGGAAACACTGCAGTGGGGTTTTACTGGAAGGCTCTACAATCGTAATCTGTTTGGGAACCACTACAGAGGGTTCGTATTGGAAGGCGCTACAACCACTTGAAAATCACTTTGACTGCTCGCACTGTCGTTCCATAGCCTCATCGTAGGCCTATCATAAGCCTATGCGTAGACTGTGTATAGGCATACTATTGGCCTATGCATTGGCTGTGTATAGGACTCGCATATGGACAGTCCACTCGAAGGTTCTAATAGAAACAATTCCAAAAGGAACCCACGCGAAAATCGATTCAACAAAATCCTATTGCCAGGCGTTGCGCTAGGAATCAGGTGAAAAACCACCACAAAAGGGTTCTTATTGGCAGGCGCAAGAACCGGAATCCAATCCGGAGCCCACTGCAACGGAATTCTTATTGGAAGGCGCTGCACTATGAATCACATTGGGAACCATTGTAACGGGATTCTATTGGAAGGCGCTGCAGTAGGAATCCAGTCGGGAACCACTACAACGGGATTCTATTGGAAGGCGCTACAATAAGATTCGAAGTGGGAACCATTGGAACAGTATCTGTTTGGACGGCGCTACAATCGGAATCCAATGGGAACCAGTACAGCGGCTCGCGCTGACTTGTCATAGCCTTACCGTAGAACTGCCATAGGGCCATGCATAGGTTGTGTGTAGGGCTGCCATAAGCTTAGGCGTCGGCAATGTGTAGGCTTATCATAGGCATATGCGTAGGCTATGCGTATGCTTATGGAAAATCTGTGGGCAGCCTGCAGTCGGGTTCTTATAGAAACAATTCCAACATGAAATCATTTGACAACCATGACGACGAGATCCTACTGGAAGGCGTTGCAACAGGATGCCGGTTGGAAGCGGCATTTTTTAATATACGTATTTATTTATACATATGTATGAATAAATAGATGATAAATTAAAAAGGAAGGTGCTACAATGGGAGTTCAAGTGGAAACCCATTACAACGGAGTTCTTATTGGAAGGCGCTACATAAGGGATCTACTTGGGGACAACTGCGACGTGATCCTTCTCGAAGGCGCTACAATAGGAATCCAATCGGGAACCGCTACAATGGGATTCTACTGGAAGGCGCTAAGCTAGGTCGGGATTTTATTGGAAAGCCTTGCAATTCGAACCAACTTGGGAGCCATTACGACGGGATTATATTGGAAGGCGCTAGAATAATAATCCATTTGGAAACCCACTACAAAGTGTTTTGTTTTGAAGGCGTTACAATAGGAATCCGGTTGGCAAGCACTTCACAAGGTTCCTGTTGGAAGGCGGTACACTAGGAGTCAACTTGGAACCAGTAGGAAGGGTTTTTTTAATGGAATCAACTTGGGAACCGCTACGACGGGATTCTATTGGAAGGCGCATCAATAGGAATCCACTTGGGAACCGCTACGTCGGGATTCTATCGGGAGGCGCTGCAATAGGAATCCGATTCAGAATCCTTACAGAAGGATTTTTGTTGGAAGGCGCTACATGAGGAATCCAAGCGGACACCCATTCCAAAGTGTTCTCATTGGAAGATGTTACACTTGGATTCCGGTTGTGAGCCACCACGCAATGTTCCTATTTGAAGGCGTGACCATAGGAATCAGACTTGGAACCATGGCAATTGTATTCTACGGTAAAGCGAAACAGTAGAGATCCAAGTGGAAACCAGCTAGAACAGGGTTCTTATTGGCAGGCGCCACAATGGGAATCCAAGTGGAAACCACTACAACGGGATTTTTTTGGAAGGCGCTACGCTGGGAATCGAATTTCAGACCGCTACACTTGAATCTTATGTGAATGCGCGACATGAGAAATCTAGCTGGGAACCACTACGGCGGGATTATATCGGAAGGCGCTACAATAAGAATCCAAAAGGGAAACCTAAAGCAGGCTTTCATTGGAAGGCGCTGCATTTGGAATCACATTGGCAATCCACTACGCAGTTTTTAACATATATATATATATATACATATATAGATATAGGAAATTGGACGGTGCTACGCTAGGAGGACACTCGGCAACCATTACAACAGGATCCGAATGGAAGGAGCTACGACAGGAATCCTGCTTGGGAACCAGTGCGGCGGGATTTCATTGGAAGGCACTACTCGAGGAATCCAATTGGGAATCGCCACGACGGCTTGCGCTGCCCTTCCATAGCCTTGCCGCAGGCCTAGGATAGGCTTACGCGTAGCGCGTAGGTCTGCCACAGGCCTATGCGCAGGCTGTGGGTATAGGCCTACCATGAGCTTATTCGTGGACTATGCATAAGCCGATGGTAGGCTTATGCGCAGGCAGTGCGCATGGGAATGGTAGGCATATGCGCAAGCTACGCATCGGATTCGGATCGGCTCATGACCGCTTCCCATTATAGGTCACGCAAACGCAATTTCAATAGGAATCTGCTTGGAAACCACAGCGATTTTTTTATTGGAAGGCGCTACAATAAAAGTTCAATTTGGAACCTGCGACAAAAAGGGTTCTCACGGGAAAACGCTGCACGATGATTCCAATGTGGACGTGCTTGCAGCTAGAAAACGCGACATTAATAACCCAATTGGGGAAGCAATGCGAAGAGATTGTATCTGAAGGCGCTACAAAGGGGAATCGCATTGGGAACCATTAAAAAAAGGGTTCACGCTTGAAGGCGCAACAAAAGGAATTCACTTGGGGACCGCTGCGACGAGATTCGAGTAAGAGGCGCTGCAATAGGAATCCAATTGGGCACCGCCACAACGGCTTTCGCTGACCTTCCATAGCTTTGTCGTGCGCCTACTCGTGGTTTATGCGCTGGCTGTGTACAGGACTACCATAGTCCTGTGCATAGTTGTGTATAGGCTTACCATCGGCCTATGCACAGGCTGTGCTCTGGCCGATGGTAAGCCTATGCGGAGGCTGTGCGTAGGCTTGTGGTAGGCCGACTGGCAATTTACATTCGGCTATTAATGAATGCAGTTCGAATAGAAATCCAAGTCGAATTCAATACAAGAAGACCTTATTGGGAGGCGTTGTCGTAGGAATCGGTGTGGAAACCACCGCAAAAGGTATCTAGTGGAAGGCTTTGCGCCAGGAGTTCAGTTGGGAACCTACTACAACAGTGTTATTATTGAAAGGCGCGATACCAAGAATGCATTTTGAAACCGCTACAACATCATCGCAGGAAGGCGCTACATAATCCAACTCGGGACCGCTACGCTTGAATTCTATTCGAACGCGCTGCTCGTGGAATCCAAGTCTGAGCCTTTACGACGGGATTCTGTTCTCATTGGAACTCGCCACGCTAGGAATCTTATTTGGAACCGGCACAGCGGAATGTCGCCGGCAGGCGCCACAATAGGAATTGATTTGGGAACCGCTACGACGGCATTTCATCGGAAGGCGCTACAACAGGAATGTAATTGGAAATCCGTTATAAAGGGTTTTTATTTGCAGGCTTTACAGCAGGAATCCGGTTGGCAAACGCCGCGCGAGGCTCCGATTGGGAGGCGCTACGCCAGGAATCCAGTTGAGAACCTTACGGCGGGATTTCATTCGAAGGCGTTATTCGAGGAAGCAAATTGGGAGTCGCCACGACGGCTTGCGCACCTTACCGTAGGCCTATCATAGGCCTGCGCCACGCAAGGTTCCGATTGGAAGGCGCTACGCTAGGAATCGAATTGGGAACCATTGCGAATGGCTCTTATTGGAAAGTGCGACAACAGGAATCCAAGTGGGAACTGCCACGACGGCTCGCCTTGACCTTCCATGGCCTTGCCGCACGCCCACCAAAGGCCTATGCGTAGGCGCTGCATGTGCCCACCATCGGCCGGCCTATGCGCAGGTCGTGTATAGGGCTAGGGTCGGCCGATGAGCATTCACATTCGTGTCCTAATAGAGTCAAGTCGAATAGGAATCCAATTGGAAACATTTTCAACAATATCCAATTCGGATTGCCATAGAAATCTGGTTGGAAACCACCGCGGAGGGTTCCAATTGGAAAGGTTTTCAGTAGGAGCTCAATTAGAAGCCCATCACAACTGCATGCATTTTGTAACGCGCTACGATGGCAATTTGAGTTGGAACCGCTAGAACGGGATTCTTCTGGAAGGCGCTACAACAGGGATCCACTTCGGAACCGCTACAAAGGGTTCTTATTGGAAGGCGCTACACAAGGAATCCACTCGGGAACCACTACGACGGGATTCTATTGGAAGGCGCTGCAATAGGAATCCAATGTTGAGCTTGCCGCAGCAGGTTTCTAGTGGAAGGTGCTACAGTTGTATTTCAAGTTGGAACCACTACGTCGGGATTCTCTCGGAAGGCGCTGCACTTGGAATCTAATTGGAAGCCCGCTACAGCGGGATTCCAGTGGAAGGCGCTACAATAGGAATCCAATCTGAAGCACATTACACAAGTTTCTTATTGGACGGCGCTACAATAGGAAACCACATGCAATCATTATCAGGGTCTCTATTGGAAGGCGCTAGAACAATATTCCAAATTGAGCCATTACGACGGGATACTATTGGAAGGTGGTTCAGTAAGAATCCACTTGGGAACCAGTACGATTGTTCTCATTGGCTTGCGGCAGAGTGGCGGGTCCGTCTCAGGTCGAACTGCGGCCGCACCGCGGCGCGACCCCAGCGCGCCTCGCGGGGGTTGGCGTCTGGGTACAGCCGCGCGGCCAAGGCCGCGTGGCGGTTCGCAGTGGTCGCCTCCCGCCTCGCCAGCGTCGGTTTCGGATCCGTGAAGCGTCGCGGGGGTTGGCGTCTGGGTACAGCCGCGCGGCCAAGGCCGCGTGGCGGTTCGCAGTGGTCGCCTCCCGCCTCGCCAGCGTCGGTTTCGGATCCGTGAAGGTCTATGCCAACGGCGAGGGACATGAAAAGCCATCGCCCGAAGATTTGCAAACAGACAGCACGGAGCGCGCCCTCGCTGAGACGTTCCAGCTGACTCCGTCTGTGCTGTCATTTCGAAGTCGGCCCGCGCTCCCAGCCGCGCTTCTGGCGCGAGCAGGGGCGGTGCAGCTCCGCGTGCTGTGTCTGGGCACGTGTCCGCGGACATGGCGCCGTTCCCCGCGGGCGGGGAGCGTTGTGGAGCCGTGCCCCCTGCCCCCGGCGGTTCCCGCGGAGCTGCTGCCAGCTTGTGAGGGCATTGGCCGCGTGGGGATCCGCATCCTCCCCCGACGGGGCTGGCTGCCTTCTCAGGGGGCGCCCAGCGGCCTCCGCGGGGGCGCGGCCCGGGGCGCCTGCAGCCGCGCCGCCAGGGGCCCCAGACAGTTTTCCGGGCAGCGGGCGCGGCGGCAGGTGCAGCAGCGGAGGATTTGGCGGTGAAGTCCGAAGCGCCCATCCCGCCCGGCCTTGAATCTGGCGGTTGCGGCGCCGAGCCAGGGATGGAGTGGTGAAGTGGCCCGCGTTCTCTGCCGTCGGCGCGTCCGCCCCAGCGCGCGCCGGCCGTGGAGGCGGCGCCAGTCCGTCAGCGCCACCTCGCCCCCTTTCGACGAGAACGGATTCTAGGGCTGACGCCGCCCGAGTCGAGGGGTTGCTGGCCTAGATGCCAATTTGGACCTGTGGCCGGGCACGAGTGGAGCCCGCGCCTCCGCCCGCGGGGCCCGTCCCACCGCGGGGGCCGCCCCCGCGCGCGCGCGAGGGTAGCTGGAGCTACGTGCGCTGGGCCTCGGAACGTCGTGGTTTCCAGGGCTCGTTCAGTACGCCGAAATGCGCGGGGCCGCTGTCCACCGACTGGGGGTTGTTTTTGGCAGACGGTCGACGGGTTGGGAGCAATTCATGATAAATGGATTCCCTTCCTGCCCGTGCGCTTGGCCTACTGCGTCCGCGCCGCCTTGGTCCCAGCCCTGTGGAGCGGACGGGGTCTCCGCTGGGCATGGGGCCAGCTTGCGCTGCGTTGCCGGCGCGCGCCTCTGGGGCCGGCCGCGCACCTTCCCCCGCCGCCGCCCCCGCCCCACGCCCGCTGGCGCGGGCCTGGGATTGGCGAAGATGCGGACGCGAGTTGTTATCAGAAGTGTGCGTGCGTGGGCTCGGCATTGGGCGGCAGCCCGGCCATGTGCTGTTGCGGAAAAGCGGGCACGTGGCCCGGGCAAAGTGCGATTTGTCCAACAGGCCCCGCTTGGAATGGCACGGTCTGAACGTTCGGCGGAGCGACGTACTCAATTGCACCTGCCGCCAGTGGCACCAGGACCTTGCGGCGCAGGGTATGGTGCATATGTCGCTCGACAGGATGCGCCTGCGCCTGTCCCAAGCACGTCGACCAGCATGCGGCGATCGATCACGCCCACCTCGCGGAGCATGCTCGCGCCCAGCACCCCCGGCCGCGTCGCGCGGGCGGGCTGGCGCAAAGCCTGGGCGGGGGGGGGGGCGGCGGTGGATCCTCGGTGGCCTCTGGGGCCTATCTATCTACCTGCTGCTGGCGTTCGAAGCCCGAATGTCTCATCGACGATGCGGACGGGGCGCGGCGCTTGGCCCCAGAGTGCGAGAGCGAGCCTCACGACGAGGAGCGGCCGTGCCTCGCGATCAAAGCGGGGGCGTAGCCGGCGAATGGGGCTCGCCCCCTCCAGCCGAAAGATTGCAGTGACAAAGGGGCTCGCGGGGCCATCCACGCTGCTTGATGAGGGCGCCCTCGCGTCGGATGTCTGACGCCCGGCCGAGCAGACCCTGTTGCGCATCTGCCTCCGCGATGTGCTGGTCCATTCGGGCCGAAGGCAAGTGCAGTCTGCTTGCGCGCCCTCGCGCGGCGAGGGGCCCCAGCGCGGGCCCCCGCGCGCGGGGCGCGCCTGCAGAGCCGCGTCGGGCAGGGGGCGAACCGCCCCGAGGCCGCCGCCGATCCGGGCCGATGGGGTGGGCCACAGCGACGGATCCTGCACGGGGCCTCGCCGAGTCCGGCTGTGGCGGCGCGGGCCCACGAAGGGATCGCGCGCAAAGGGGCCAGCGCGGCAGCGGCCGCGGCCCCGAGGCCAACAGTTGCACGCGCGACCGTCGGCGGGGTGGCCTTCGCGGCCCCGCCGAGCTCGGCCGCGCCACCAAGGGGCGCATCTCCCGACCCAGGGCGCGGCCCCCTTCCCGCCTGGGGGAGGCCCCAGTCTGCCGATTCGGGGGCGGACGCGCATCGCGTAAATCGACCCCAGGACGTGGATGTGGAGCCGCCCCAGTCTGCCGATTCGGGGGCGGACGCGCATCGCGTAAATCGACCCCAGGACGTGGATGTGGAGCCGCCAGCGGGTGCAATGATGTTTCTCGGTCAAGGTCTGCCCCCTCTTTACTGCGGCCGCGAGCGGGAGCCAGACGTGGTGCGTCATGGTGGGAGTCAGCTCTTGGGCGGGCGCCAGCCCCCCCGGGGGCGACCCCGTCTTGGCCATCGAGCCCGCCACCGCCGAGATGGACGTCGTGGCGCCTCTGAAGTAGATCGCGCGCTGCCCGCCCCCGCTCGGGGGCGGGCGAAGCAACCCCGAGTGGGTGAACCAAGGGCGCCCTCGAGGGCGCGAAGTGATCCGCGCTTCGCGCTTCGCGGTTCGGCCCCGATTCCTCCTCATCCTCCTCTTCTCCCCTGGGAGGCGGCGCGAGAGCGCGAAGCTGCTCGCACTTTGCGCTTCGCGCGGCGCGGAGCGCGAAGTTGGGAGCCCATGGTGAACCTGCCCTGGGGGGCCGCGCGGCCGCCCGCGGGGCCCCGTCGCCGCCCTGAGGCAGTCGAGCAGCCCCTGCGCTGAGCAGCCCCTGCGCTCCCCCCCCGCGGTTGGCGCTGAGGCCCCGCCTTCCGCGGGGCCCCCCCCGGGGCGCGGCCCCTGCCGGGCGGCGCCCCTCCCACCCGCCCGCTGGGGGCGTCGAGCCCGCCCCGACTGCCGTCCTCCTTTGTCCCTCGCCCCGCTCTCTGCCTGCCCCCCCCGCCGCCCCCCTCGCTCTGCCCTGCCGCCCCGCGCGGGGTCCGCCCTGCCACCGCCTCCAGCAGCTGCTCCGGGTGCGCTCGGCCCTCCATGCCCGTCCCCCGGGGTGTGCTCCTGTCATCTCTGCCCTCGCGCTCAGTGCCCGCCCTCGCGGCGGCGGCCCCCCGCGCGCGCCCTCGCAGCCCCCGCTCGCGCGTCCTGTTCCTGCCTTGCCCGCCCTCTCCGACTCTGGTGGCGGCGCTAGCGGCGCCCAGTTATGTGTTGTATCGCTACTTGTCGAGCCAGGTGCCGGGGGAGCAGCTCTGCTGATCGTCTCGCCGAAGCTGGATGGCGAGTGTGGACGATCGCACACCCCAACTGCGGCCACTGCGGGCCTTTGATCCCCGAGACCGCGCTCCTTTCGCCCGCGCCCTACTCTGCCACGGAGTTCGAGGACTTCCTCGATTCTTTTGCCTCCTCGGCAGTGGACGGGGGCCCGCCCTCTCCCTGCGGAGGCCCCTTCGGCCCGCGCTCCCTCCAGTGAGGGCGACCCCCCAGCCAGGAAGCTCGCGTCAGGTTCACCAGCGCCACTCCTGGAAGCGGCGGTGATCTAGTCGCCTTGGTCCTTTCGGGTTGGCCATTGGCCGCATTCCCGCGGGCAGCAAACTCGTGGACTACCCCTGTCCTTCCCTAACAGGCCCTAACCCCTAGGGCGGTTGCCCTCTGCCGAGTCCCGTTCCGCCAGGGCTACCACCCGCTGGCCCTGTCAGGTCATCCCCGTGGAGGCCTCCTGCGGTCCCTGCCATCCTTGGGCGGGCTTCTTCCCGCGTGTGGTGCGCTGGCGTTGAGGACTCGGCGAACGGGCTGGGCTTCACCTCTCTCCTACGGGATGCTTTTGCGCTCTGCACCGCCGAGTTCCGGGCCGTCTCCTCGCGCATTGGCCAGTCTGCCGCAACGTGGACATCCACGCGCGCTCGCGCTCCCCTCCAGGCCCTGCTGGACCAGTGTCGCTCTTGGCCTCTCCTTCCCCTTGGCCCCCCCACCCTCCTGCTGCCGCCCACCTTCTGCTTCTCTGCCGTCCCACCCCATGGCTGGCTTTCGCCCGCCCTCTCTCTGGCACCCCGGGCCCCTCCTCTCGGACGGGTGCCCTGTCCGGGCCGCGTTGGCCTCCTTCTCGGCCATCGCTTTCTCTGACCTGCCGCCCGCCTGGCTGGCGACGCAGCGCTGTTGCCGACCCCTTTGCTTCCCTCGCCGCCGTCATAGCCAGGTCTGCTTCGACCTCTTTGCTTCGTGTGCCCTGCCTGCCTTGGCAGGCGTTAGCACCTGCTCCCCGTAGACTCGTGTCCCCCCCGTCCTCCGTGGGCTTCCAGGTCGGCCTCGGTCTTCTGGTCGTTCTACGCTGCTTACCCGCTCCCCCTGCCTTCCAGTCTCAGTTGGCTTATGCCACCCCACCGCACTGTAGTTCCGTCTACCCACCGGTCCCACCTGCAATCCACGCCCAGATGGCTTATAATTGCCAGCGGCTGCGAGATCCAAACCAGTCTTCGAGGGTTCGGGCGTTTCTAGTCGCGCGCGCGCGCGTTTCCTCATTTTCGATGTTTTCCGCCCTGTCGCTGCGCGCAGGGCAACGACGCAAAAACGTGTGTGTGGCCACGGGTTACCACGGAGCTCCTTCAGACGCGCCCCCGATCGGACAGAAATATTAAACAAATCAGTGGGCGCTCAATGAGTTTAGCCTGAGCCGCTGTTTCGTTCCGCATGGGACCGCGCTGCGATATTCTGGGCTGGGGCGAAGGGAGGAGTTCTGTAGCGTTGGAGGGGGCAGGGGTGGACGCCTCCCCGAATAAGAGAGAAACGTATTTGGAAGAAACCAACGCCGAAAGGGTTGATGGGAGTAAGCATGATTACGTAGTAGTATGATCGCATAGTCACCCGCGGTGCCCTCTATCATGTCGAGAGTCGCCTTGAAACGTAGAGGTACGACTCAGGCTCTGGTGGTGCATAGCTATGCGCTGCATTTCGTGGCAGTATGTACGGCCTGCGGTACAGTTCGTAATGACATGTGCCGTTGGAACGATTCACCTGCTTACACGTGATGGTCAACGATGGTCTTTTGGTGGTAGAGTGTGCGTGTGGAAGCCAGACGGGAGTTAATCCATAGAGCTTGGCAGTACGTGTAACGCGGACCTGCGCCGCTGTGTGATCTGAACGTGGTACATGTCGGCGCGTGGTGCGTAGTGAAGGGTCGGCTACGTAGAAGGTCTTTGTGCGCGCTTGGTCGTAAGCATCGTATCGCGTGGTATTTCGTACTCGTGTTTCGTAACGTGTCATGACAAGTATCCACACGCACAGAAACTCATTACGTATCAGTGCTGCAGCTGTTTTGGCCCCAGGCAGCTCGAGGGACTGCGCGGAGGCAAGGGAAATTCTGCACCACCGTTTCAGGGCAACAGTACATTCCTCGCGCTTCCTGCGGCAGTGCGATGTTCGGCTGCTGCTCCGACACGCGGACCACTGATACCGAGGTCCCTCGGCTGGATCCGGTCTCCGAAGACGAAGTGAAGAAGTCTTGGGCAAAACTACCGGAGACTTTCGAAGTGGAGGTTGCACACGCAAGTGGAACCATTGGTCTGGACATCGGTCACCACGAGTCAAAATGTCTGAAGATCAAGGGGGTCAAGGATGGCAGTGTGGGCAAACATAACAAGGCTCACCCAGATAAGGCCTTGAAGGAGGGAGACTTCATCATGGCAGTGAACGGCGTGAAGGGCGTCTCTGCAGATATATTGGCTGAGATGAAGAAGAAACAGAAAACGAAGACACTGCAACTCCTAGTCAGCCGCGGTGCGCCAGTCGACGAACCAGTCGCCTGCAGGCTGAGGTGCGCTTGGACAGACGAAGGGACTTTTTACCTGAATGCCGCAAACGACCCCCAACAGCGCGAAGTGCAATGCTACACCTTGGAATCGGAATGGGGGAGTGAGAAGTGGTTTATTCACGACGCTGGTGACGGCTACAAGAGGATCCAGAATCAATACACTGGGAAGTATCTGAATTGGGTGGAGGATGGCACTGGCGTGGCGCTGGAAGAATACAATGAGTCATACGATAGTATGTTGTGGAAGCCAGACTCCAACGTCAGTACGAGCGGAGCCTTCAAGTACCAGAACAAGTACAAGCCAGATTTCTACTTGAACATGGAAGGGGGGTCAGGTCTCTCCCATTCGGTGGGCTTGACGACTGATCCGCCTACCGACTTTTTGAGTGCACAGTGGGTTATTGAACCTTTGGTTGCTAATGGGGCTGGCAGTTTCAGGGTGCAATGTGCGTGGACAGACGACGGGACCTTTTACCTGAATGCCGCAAACGACCCCCAACGTCGCGAAGTGCAGTGCTACGTCTTCGACTCACAGTCTTCAACATGGACCAGCATGAAGTGGTGGGTTTATGATGCGGGTGATGGCTACCAGAGGATCCAGAACCAGTGGACCTATAAGTATCTGAATTGGGTGCAGGATGGCACTGGCGTGGCGCTGGACGACTATAATGAGTCATACGATAGTATGTTGTGGAAGCCAGACTCCAACGTCAGTACGAGCGGAGCCTTCAAGTACCAGAACAAGTATAAGCCAGATTTCTACTTGAACATGGAAGGGGGGTCAGGATCTTCCCGCTCGGTGGGCTTGACGGCTGATCCGCCTACCGACTTCTTGAGCGCACAGTGGCTTCTTCAGAATGCCTGAGTGACGTAACAGCCCGGTGCGCAGAAGACGGTGCAAAGTTCTGCGGCACTTGGTGGATAGTAGTGAAATTTGTTCTCACCTCGCAAGCCGTGGCTGTGCAACAGCTTTCAGTTTTTAGCGAGCTGTCGCGCAGGACCGCAGCGCATCCTTGCTTAGAAGACGTCCATGGCGAGCCAAATACCAATGTAGTGAAATCTCGAATGACAGCACGGCCACGCTAGTGGACTGCATGTTCCCCCAGCCGTTGGGGAAACCATTGGGGGGAATACTAGATGGGGCTCTCGGGAAGCCGCTGGAGGGGCTCTCCGGAGTCGTTTTGAGACTTGTTTGGGTTCTATCCTCCCAGGGTCCGCTCAGGCCATCTAGGGGCTCTCTTGGACCACCTTAGGACGCTGTTGGGCCGTCTTGGGAGCATCTTCGGCCCTCTTGGAGCCATCTTCAGTCATCTTTGAGGCCACTGGGGCCACTTCCGCCGACTTGATGACGAGACAATTCTCTTGGACACTCTCTTGGAACCATCTTGGACGGGGACGCCTACGGGCTGTACCTCTTCCAGTCCTTTCCGGGTGGCCAGCGGGTCGGGGCGAAGGTCAGGCAGGCTTAGGATCGTTCTCAGGGCGTTCAGGAGCGTGCTGAAACGGCCGAGGCGCCCGATGCATCCTCCAGAACCGCTGGATTTCACAGACCACCAATGTATCCCGATCCGATTGTGTCCTGATCTTAATTCGATTCAGGAGACCACCGTTCAACTTCTAGAGGGCCAAGCTGGGTTTTGGAGTCGGACGCCCCTCCTGCAGGCTACGGGGTCAGTGGTCCGAAGATGCCTCCAGCGGGTCACCGCCGTCTCTTGCCTGGGAAACCATTGGGGTAGCGCTGGGGAGCTGCTGTCTTGGGGCTGGTTTGGGGTTCTTGTCGGGCCTTCTTGTGTGCCTCCAGGGGCCACCCAGGCCATCCCGGAGCTCTCCTGGACTGTCTTGTGGCGCTGCTGGGGCGTCTGGAGGCCGTTATGGGGGCTTCTCTGGACCATCTTGGGGCTCTCATGGGGCCCTGGAGAGCCGTCTTGGGGTTCTATTGGGGAGTCTTCAGGGGCCGTCTTGGCGTCCTCTTGGTGTCGTCTTGGTATGATATTGGGGTCCTATTGGACTTCGTAAGGTGTGAAAAAGGAGTAATCAGACAATCGTGGGGCGTCTTTGTAGCCTCTCGGGCCGTCTTGGGGCCATCTTGGGCATTCTCGGAGACATCTTGGGGCAATCTCAGGCTCTTGGGTTTCTTTGATGGAGGCGTCTTGGGACCGTCTTGGGGGCCAGCTTGGGAACTTCTGAGCCGTATTGGAGCTTCTTGGTCGGAAGAGCCCACTGCGTGTTGCTCGTCCGTGGAGCCGGCGGGACTGGCCGAAACCCACCTGCAGCTTCTTGGAAGGGCCAGCCGGAGCTGAACGTTGGCACGCCGGCTGTCCTCCGCAGATGACAGCCACCACCCGCCAAACCACCCCAACCCAACCCGAAGGCCTCAATTTGCCCTCCATTTCCAGTGTGGGGAGGTCCGGGAACATCGAAAAACACATGGAGCCCATACCCCCCTTACCCGAAATTCGGGTCTTCGGGTTGGGTTGGGGTGGTCTGGTAGGTACAGTCGGGGCCCTGAAGAAGGAACCCTTTTTGTTGGGGAGGGGCTCCGTGTTCCTTAAGTGTTTCGCAGCTTGCCCTGGATTTTCCTTTGGTTTTCGATACGAAATCGAAGTTCAACTTCTGGAAAATAGGGGCCTCGTTCCTTATTTAGGGTTCCTTAGGTCAACGCCCCGACTGTAGTCATGCAGGGGCGGCGGGTGCAGGGAATTTCGGCTCGCGTCACCACTGTGCCTGGACCGCTGGCCAGAAACATGTTGTACGCCTCGTCGGGTCTCTCGGGGGTCACTCAGGTGCCCACAAGAAGCTTCGTGGGGGCCTCCAGGGGGGGGTTCTTGGCATGCCTCTTGGGCCTCTTGGGGTCGTTTTTGGTGTATGTTAGGCCCCCTGGAGCCGTCTCGGAACGTCTGGGATCTATTTGGGGACTCCTGGGCTGTCTTCTGGCCGCCCTGGGCTGTCTTGGAGCCTTCTGGGCTTTCTGTTGATCCCCTGGAGGCTGTCTTGAGCCGTCTTTGGGGCCACCTTGGGCCCTGTTGGGCCGCCCTGAGGCCCTTTTGGGCAGTCTTGGAGCTCTTTGAAACTATCATGCTATGTTGAATCGAGAAGCCGAGCAAGCGAAAGAACTTTATCACCCAATCTGGTTTTCTCGATGTTGGCTGTTCGGGGCCTCTCTTGGAGCTTCTTGAAGCCTCGCTTGGAGGCTCTTGCGGGCCTTCTGGGGCCTCTTGGAAACCTCCGAGCCTTCTGTATATTGTGTTTGCTTCTTCGGAGACTCTTGGGGGATCTTGGGGTCATTCTGGACAGCCTGAGCCTTCGAAGGGCTCACGCGATACCAGGGAAGCCCGAAGAATCAGGACAATTCTGCAATCATGGTGGTCGGGACCCTTGACGCTCCTCTAATCCTTGCAACAGCATGAGCCTCAGGGGACTCCACTTCCTGTTGGAGGCACGGTGTCAGATCTCTATGGCTAGCCTGCACCAAAGCGTGGCATCGCAGTGGCATCATGAAGTGATTTCCCGAACCGCTCCTGTCCTTGACAGCAAAGCTCTGTCTCGAATGGGCAAGTGATGCGGCCTGCTGGACTTGAGAGTCTTCGGCTTTCCATGTGTGATCGTTTAACTTGGCTTGGTGCGAGGACTGCGGCCCTGGTGCTCGAAAGTCTTAGTCGAAAGTCTCAGTGATTTTCCAGTGGCTCTCCAGCATGAGACTGAGTCGGAAGTTTGTGAGATCCGGGCTTTCAGTTTTTTGTCTACATGGCACGAATACCACGGCTGGTGGCACGACACCGCGAGACGACGTCACGACATCGCTGAAAAGCACAGTGCGTACTAGTACGCGGCGATTTCGCAAGGTTTACTATGTAGTACTTCTCCGGAAGTTGCGGTAGCACCTCCCACCAACACCCCAGCAGTCCAGATAATTCCGAGTTGCGCCTGGATGATTCTCACATTGCTCTGCCGCGCGTCTCCTGTTCCGGGCGTTGATAGGATACGTAGCAACGCCTTCTTGTGGCACGGCCATGGCGTTGCAGGATTGCCGCGATGCCACTTGTGTGGCCGTTTCGAGGCCTCCTGGAGGCCTTGCGGGTCCTGGGGCTGATTTCTTGGTACGTTTCTGGGGTCATCTCTTGGGAGAGTCTTGGGCTGTCGTGGGGTCGCCTTGGGCAAGTCTTGCGCCGTCCTGAGGCCGCCTTGAGAGAACTCCCCTAGCTGGCTTCTTAGGCCTCAGGGGCGCCGTCCGTGTCGAACAAGGGAGACATGAATCTTGAGCCTTCCTGGGTCAGTGCGCAGCCGCTGACATAGCGCATGTTTCTCGATGCCGTTTGACCTCCGAAGAAGCTGGGGGGTTCTTCGAGGGCCTCAGGGGTGCTTTCTGGGAGCCTTGCTTGGAGCTTGGAGCCGTCTTGGGCAGTTTTTCAACCATTGGGGCTGGTCTGGGGGCAATCTCGAGGAGTCTCAGTGCCGCCTCTGGTCGACGGTTAGGCCGTTTTACGTTGGCCATGGATTGCCCAGGTGGAGGAAGAGGGAGAGGAGGAGGAGGAGGAGGAGCAGGAGCAGGAGGAGGAGGAGGAGGAGGAGGAGGAGGAGAAGGAGGGTACTGAGTTTACGGACTGGATGGGGCGGGGCCCCTGCTCCGCAGAGCAGGCGCCCTGCCGCCCCGCGCCGAGGGGGGGAAGGACCTCCCCCGCACACGGGAACAGCACGAGTGCAACGAGGCCAAGACGCCTCCATGCCAGGCCACCCATGGCCTCGCGCCGTTTGGTCCAGGTGAGTTTCGTTTCTTAGGCGTGTCGTCCTCTCACACGGCCGCGGGGCATCGCTTCGCTAGACATTCGGGCGGGAGTGTACAAGGCTGCGTGTCCCCTATACACCACATCTCTATAGTATGCTTCGCATGCTCCTCTCCCTCTTTTTCTGTCTATATCTGTAGCATATACGTATGTATGATGTATATATGTTATATATATACATATGTTACGCGCAACTGTATACACACCGATCTACCTTTATACATACTGCTGGCACGGCGTACACACATATACATATAAATATATATATATATGTATACACATACATACATGTGCACACATATACATATATACGTATATACGTACATTCATACATATATATACATACATACATACATACATACATACATACATACATACATACATACATACATACATACATACATACACACACATATATATATATATATATATATATATATATATATATAACGGGGGCCCGGGGGCCACGACCTCTACCACAAATGGGGGTGTGCAGGCCTTTTGGGGGCCCCAGACGCCAACAAAACGCCACGAGAAAGCGCCAAGAGAGCCCGAAGACGCGCCAAGAGGGACCCGCGACGCCCACAGGCCGCTCCAAGACGCACAAGCCGCTCCGCAAGATGGCTCCCAAGACACCCCAAGAGGCCTCCCATACGCCTCCTGCGACGCTCCCAGAGGCCCCCCAGGAGGGCCCCCAAAGGCAGCATTCTCTCTTTTCCTGCTTTTCCTTTTTAAGGAAACGTATATTTTTCACATATACACCTCTTTGGCTTTCACAGCGTCCAAGACGGCCCAAGAGCCCCCACGACTGCCCCACAGGCTCCCAAGAGGGCCCCAAGACGACCCCAAGAGGGTCCCAAGACGGCCCGAGAGGCCCCCAAGACATGCCAAGGAAGCCCCAGAGGGGTCCCAGAGGTGCACAACCACATTCCAATTCGGAGCTTCCGGCCCCAGAGGCTCCCAGGAGGCTACTGCCCCAACAGGTCCCCAGGAGGCCCCAAGAGGTCCCCAAGAGGCCCCAAGGCTCCCAAGAGGCCTCCAGGAGGCCCCCAGGAGGGCCCCAAGAGGCAAAATTCGTTCCACCCCCTCAGGGAAACGTGTATTTTTCACATATACACCGGCCCAAGAGGCCCCCACGACTGCCCCACAGGCTCCCAAGAGGGCCCCAAGACGACCCCAAGAGGGTCCCAAGACGGCCCGAGAGGCCCCCAAGACATGCCAAGAAAGCCCCAGGACGAGTCCCAGAGGGGTCCCAGAGGTGCACAACCACATTCCAATTCCGAGCTTCTGGCCCCAGAGGCTCCCAGGAGGCCCCAACAAGTCCCCTGGAGGCCCCAAGAGGCCCCCAAGAGACCCCCAGGAGGCTCCCAAACCCCCCAGGAGGGCCCCAAGAGGCAAAATTCGTTCCACCCCCTCAGGGAAACGTATATTATTCGCATATGTGCCCCTTTGGCTTTCACAGCGTCCAAGACTGCCCACACAGGCTCCAAGAGGGCTCCAAGACGACCCCAAGACGGTCCCAAGACGGCCCGAGAGGCCCCCAAGACAGCCCAAGAGAGCCCCAGGACGAGCCCCAGAGGGGTCCCGGAGGTGCAAAACCACATTCCAATTCCGAGCTTCCGGCCCCAGAGGCTCCCAGGAGAGGCCCCCAGGAGGCCCCAAGGGGCCCCCAAGAGGCTCCAAGAGGCCCCCAAGAGACCCCCAGGAGGCTCCCAAGAGGCTCCCAGGAGGCCCCCGGGGGGATCCCAAGAGGCTCCCAAACTGCCTCGAAGACGCCCTTGAGAGGCCTCTAAGATGCATTCAAGCCCCCCCTTTGCCCAAGAGGGCACCCACTGCCTTCTGGTGAGAATGACGACGGATATGATGAAAGAACATCGTCGAGGGGTATCATGACGATGATCATGATGATGGGAAGATGGCGGTGGCGATGATGAGAGGAGGGGGAATTATCATGAAGATGGATGCGATAACGATGGTGATGATGCTGATGATGATGACGATGCTGATGGTTATGGTGATGATGATGATGATGATGATGATGATGCTGATGATGATGATGATGATGATGATGGTGATGCTGCTGATGATGATGCTGATGATGATGATGATGAACCGCTGATGATGATGATGATGATGATGATGATGATGATGATGATGGTGGTGGGGATGCGGAGGAGGATTTGGATGAGGATGAGGATGCTTATGAAGAGGGGGAGGACGAGGAAGATGAGGAAACGAGGATGAACTATGATATGGATGCTGATGCTGATGCTGATGCTGATGCTGATGCTGCTGATGATGATGATGATGATGATGATGATGATGATGATGTTAGTGATCTTATGATGATGAGGATGAGGACTGGCTGCTGAGTGGGATTGATAAGATCCTGATGATTGTGATGATGTTGATGGTTATGACTGTCATAATGATGTTGATGGTGGTGGTGGCGCTGAGGATGATGATGACGATGCTGACGAGGCTGAGGATGTTGATGACGATGGTGGCGATGCTGATGATGATGATGATGCTGCTGATGATGATTTTGATGACGATGATGAAGTGGGAGGAGGAGCAGAAGGAGAAGGATGATCATGATGATGGTGACGATGATGGTGCTGATCATGGGGATGAGTACGATGATAATGATGATGCTTATGGTGATGATGCTGACGATGCTGATGATGCTGCTGATGATGAGGAGGGTGATAATGATGATGAGGCTGACGATGACGATGATGATGCTGTTGTTGATAGCGATGGTTATGGTGATGGTGATGGTGATGGTGGTGATGAGTTATGATGATCCTGCTGATGCTGATGCTCATGCTGATGCTGATGCTGATGCTGATTCGGATGTCGCTGCTGCTGCATCTGCTGCTGCTAATGATGATGATACTGATGATGATGATGATGCTGCTGCTGATGATGATGATGATGATTCTGATGATGATGATGATGCTGATGCTGATGCTGATGCTGATGATGATGCTGATGATGATGCTGATGATGATGATGCTGATGATGATGATTATTATTATTGTTATTATGATTATTATTATTATGTTTATTATTATGGTTATTATTAGTGTTATTATGTTTATTACTACTATTATAATGATGATGATGATGATGATGATGATGATGATGATGATGATGATGATGATGATGATGATGATGATGATGATGATGATGATGATGATGATGATGATGATGATGATGATGATGATGATGATGATGCTGATGATGATGATTGATGATGATGATGATGATGATGATGATGCTGATGATGATGATGATGATGATGACGACGACGACGACGATGATGACGATGACGATGACGATGACGATGCGGCGAGGCAGGATCAGGACAGCCGTCACACGTGTCATCTTCCGTCTTTTCTTCTCGAGGAGCTTCCCAGAAACCCATTTGGGCGGTTTTTGGGCTGTTTGGGGCTTTGGTGAGGCAGTTGTGGGGGACTTTCGGGCATTTTTGGGCCAGCCCTCTTGGGGCCCTCTTGCAATAGTTTGAGGCTCTCTGGGGCCGTCTTGGGGCCCCCTTGACTGTCTGAGTTGGGGGGTCTCTTGCGGTCGTCGATGGGCCGTATTTGGGCCGTTGATGGGCTCTCCAGGGCCGCCCTGCGCTGTCTAGGGGCTTTCTTGGGCTGCCTTGAGGCCGTCTTGGAGGATTCCTGGGCAACTTGGGTGCAATCTTGGGGCTATAGTAGTGGATACCTTTAGGGCCGTCTGGAGCAGAAGGGAGCCCGAACAGGTGAAGACACAGAAGACTTTCGCATTCGCCTTTTCGGGCCTTACTGGGGGTTATCTTGTGGCTCTCCTGGGTCTTTTGGGGGGCGCCGTGGGCCGTTTTGAGGCCACCCTGGGCAGATTTGGAGCCATCTTGGGCTGTTCCGGAGGCTTCGTTGGCCATTTTGGCTCTTGGGGCGGCCTTGGTTGCCTGTCTTGGCCGTTGTGTGAGCTCGGGGGGAAGGGGGGAAGAGAAGGAGAAATCCATGGAGAAGCGAAGAGCCGCCCCCCCCTGCCTGCCCCGGTGCAGTTGGCATATGAAGGATTTAGCACCCCTTACGTAGGGGGAGACGCGGTTCGAAATCCCACTGAAGGATTTATCACCCCTTACGTAGGGGGAGACGCAGTTCGAAATCGCACTGAAGGATTTAGCACCCCTTCCGTAGGGGGAGACGCAGTTCGAAATCCCACTGAAAGATTTAGCACCCCTTACGTAGGGGGAGACGCAGTTCGAAATCCCACTGAAGGATTTATCACCCCTTACGTAGGGGGAGACGC